TGCTGGAATAAGCCGATGTATGAAATACTTTTAAACCTATATACTTTTTAAGGTTAATTTTCAATTTTAAAATACTCACTAATTATTTATTAATTCCATAAAATCCTTATTTAATTAAAACTTTTCAGATTTAACAAAACAATTATGACTGGCCGAGTAACTCACCGAGTCAGAATTTTCCCTGAGTCAAGAAACTCGCCGAGTACTCGGGAGTAACGCGGGAAAACAGGACAGGCCGAGTTGGATTGCTAAACGGAACGGCCATCCCCGAGTTGTGAGTGCTCGCCGAGTACTCGCCGAGTTGATAACACAGTTGTGATAATACCATATAAAAAAGGGAACCGGTTTGTATTGTTTGCATAACATAGAATCGGGAATTGATGCTTCTTTTTTAAAAAGCAGAAGTAGAATCAGAATCATTTTTTTAGAAGTACAGCCCTCAACTTCTAAAAAAATTGCTTCTAAGAGCAATTTGGAGTAATTAGAAATACTTCTACACTTACACCCAAACACTCTAGGAACTGAAGCAGTTTTTAAAAAAAAGTAGATCCGAACACCCTCTTACTATTCATATTCTACTCGATAATTTTGTGTGATATACAAATACTGTTTTTATGTTAAAATGATGTAATCTATATATCAAATGTTTAGAATTTAAACTATGTAAAAACTATTGTCCAAGCTTTTTTAGAAGGCATTCATATTCTTCTAAAAATCCAAAATGTTAAGAACAAATAATGGTAGATAATTTATGTGTTTGTATATTACTTATGATTCAATCCAGAGTTAAATCCCTTTATATCCATCTCAAATAAGTATTAAAATTCAAAACAAGAGTTTTATATCCATCTCAAATAAGTATTAAGAGCATTTACACTACAAAATTTAAATATCATCAAGAACTAAATCTGAAAAGTTAAACTCTTATGCAATATAAAATATCCAATATAAATAAAGTAATAAAAAATCAGCTGCTTCAGAAAAAACAGCAGTTAAAATAGAATATAATAGAATATACTGTTAAAATAGAATATAATAGAATATACTGTTAAAATAGAATGTGTTGCGTAATACAAAACAAGAGATGGAAAGATGTAGTCCAACCATCCAGCTGGAGTCAACCGACTAACAAACAAAAAAAGAGAAACAATAGAGAAATAGAACGGCTTATTGACAAAAAAGACAGAACGACCAGACACAGTGGCAGACTTAAAGTTGTAAAAGAGAAGAGCCCGGACTTCGATCTAAAAATATCAAAGAGCAAGAGGCGGTAGAAAACAACGGAGCAAGGAATCTGTGTCGGCAACCAGTGCTAGTGACCAGCGACCTGCGTCCTGCATCGGGACCAGCAACAGCAACCTGCGATGATGACTTCAGGCGAGTCGCCCGAGCATCGTATGGCTGCCCCATCGCCATGACACCTAGTCTCTGCCTAGGCGACGCCGTGACAACCATCATAGATACTCAGCAAATGTATTTTCCTTGTATTCACCCATTTGAACAAAAGTAACCCTTAATGCATAAAATTTATAGGCGTATTACAAAAAAAACTCGTGCATTTATACTTCTGTTTCGATTTAAAATATATTCATATCTACACCTACATTTACACACACACACATATATATCTACATGTATATTCACATCTATATCTATCTATATCTAAATTATTCAGGTCTCACAAAAGGCTTTATTGAGGCTAGTTTTGGCTCCCCTCGTTTGAGTTGGTGAAAAAAAGCCTTGAAGCTTTAGAGTCAAGCGAATAAATTGAGGCTTAAGCCTCAAGGTATTTTGTGAGGCTTAAGCCACATGTTTTACTTTACATATTATGTTTTCTTAGCTAGTTACTCCCTCCGTCCCATTTTACCTGCCTTACTTTCTTTTTTGGAATGAAATATGTGATCCACAACATTTCACTTTATTATACTCAAATCACAACCACAACTTTTACTTTTTCAACCACTTTATTAATAATTGTGCCAAACCAAAACAAGACACATAAAATGGGACGGAGGTAGTATTTTTAATAAAATTCAAGTGGGCTATTTTTCAACAATTAGTCACTAAGCCCCCCTAAATATTTGCCAAAATCAACAAGTTGCATCACATAGCTCTACTTTAAAGTTCACTCCTCCAGAAGTGCGAACTCATTTCTTACAAAGGTATTGAACCACTTTTGCTATTCTTCTCTTCCCTTCTTTCAGGTGATGTTCAAATAGCTCAAACAAGTGCAGCTATTATTTCTTCTTATTTGAAAAATAACAACAGAAGTAACATAGCTTCCCTTTATTCAAATTGCTCCAGTAAATCAAATTTTAAAGGCTCCATCCATGTCTCAAAGGCTCCATCCATGTCTCGTATATTTTTCTCATTTAACAACTTTCTCTAGGTTTTATTTGGGACAACACATTATAAATACTTTTCCCTAAAGCGTTAAGTTTATGATAGTTGTCTATGATACTTATTTATGACATTTGTCATTTTGTGTATGGTTGATAATATATTGTAGTTTGTCAGAAATTTTACTGTAAAGAAAGTCATGCACAATGTTTGAGGCTTACACCTCAAACCCCTTCGACACTTGCACAGTTACACATCACCTCACATAAGCAAGACGATTCCAGACTTAAAAGCACATTTTTAAACTTTGCGTGTATATTCATATCTTTTTTTATAATAGCTTATCTTTTTTATCTTTATTTTCGTTCTTTTCCTTTTGGTGATATCATATATCGATTCATGTTAGCCGACCCCAATATCGTTTGGGACTAAGGCTTGGATGTTGTTGTTGTTGTGTATATTCATATATGTGTCTACATTTACATCTATATCTACATCTACGCCTACATTACAATCAGTTTCGTCAATCTCGGATTGTGGGCAGGGAACCCTGAAAGCACTACAGCAGTATAACGTATAGTGGGTGACTGCTATTCTGACCATTTATACCAAATATACATATTTATATGTATGCTTTTAATTAATTGCCATACACATACCAAATCCAAAAAATAGATAATGATATTTGTATATTAGTTAGAGACTCAAACCTCATGGCATTCAAAATTACTAAATTATCAGTTAAAAGACATTAGTATCTTGAACAAACAAACAAACAAACAATTAAAGTAAATTATGCCTAAGCATTAAAATTAGAGGAAAAGGTCAAATGAGGCCTTCTACTACTATGAAATCGTCACATAAGGTCATGTACTCAATAAAGTGTCATATAAATGTGTCTACTTATATAAAGCAATCAGATGAATCCTAATGACTTGTTGACAACCTCATAATCTCGGTTTTAGTGTACGTTTGGCTATCTTTTTAAAATAGATTATAACGCGGACGTGAAATATTTGGCCAGAATTGGCTTAAATACAAGACAAAAATAATTTCACGTAAGCTAAAATCGAGATTAGGAGGTTGTCAACGGGTCATTTTGACTCATCCGATTGTGTTTGTAAGTAGACATATTTACATAACACTTTATTGAGTACATGACCTTATGTGACGGTTCCGTAATAGTAGAAGGCCTTATTTGATCCTTTTCCCTTAAAATTAATACGCGAACTCGTATAAAACTCTTAATATATTAGAAGTCAACAAAATTTCATTATTCTAAATCAAGGTTGTTGGGATGACTTGAACTTCATAACGCAGAGCTTTTATGGTGTACGTTATGGTTGACCTCAGTTTTCTATTTATAAGCAGTTTCTAGAAGGGTTTGGTAGGGTTCTTTTAGGTGTTTGGGAGGGTATAATAGGTTTTTTTTTTCTTTAAACCCCAAGATTACTCCTTAACAACTTTTGAAATCCAAAATTACGCCCCAGGTCCCCTTAATACAAAAAATCTAAGTAAACTATATCAGGGCTATAGGGCTCCCTACAGACACAATTGTACCCGCTATAGTGCCCACTTTTGGGGCTAGAGCCAACCACTGTGCTACAAGCAATCTGATAGCTCTATTGATATCAAGAATTTATATTTAGTTATTTACATTAACACTTACATCTATAAATATATAGAGGAATATTCCTGTCCGGAATTTCCTGACCGGACCCCGTCCAGCCTCCGTTGTTTGGGGTTGTTCCCAATGGTATTTTTTTATGAAACTTTTTTTGTATGTTCTTCATCAAGTCTAGTTTATCCATACCAAATTTCAGCTAAAAATTCAACCGGGAAGGCAGTTAAATGATTTTTGGAAGTTAACTGCGTTGTATATAAAGGGCGCAGTTAACTTCCAAAAATCATTTGACTGCCTTCCTGGTTGAATATTTAGCTGAAATTTGGTATGGATAAACTAGACTTGATGAAGAACATACACACAAAAAATTCAGCAAAAATACCACCGGGAACCGCCCCAAAAGGGGGAGGCCGGACGGCGTTCCTGTCAGGAAATTCCGGACAGGAACAGCACTCGAATATATATGTATGTATGTATATATATATATATTTGTTTTACATTATATTTGTATTATGCTAATATTTTTACTTACAATTCTTACAATTCTATTTAGAAAAGGTTGGGAATTGACTTCAAGAAGCAGAATCAGTTTATGGGAAACTGGTCTCCCTAGCTTCTCAAAAATAATTCTGAGGAGCAGTTAGGAGTGTGTCTCTGAAGTTTCAACTACAGAGTTTCAACAACACTCCAATATCTGATTTCTCTACCAATTAGATCTAATCCTTTTAGAATTAGATCCAAGCACCCCTTACTTCAAAAAAGAGTAAAAAGCACATGCTTGGATTTTTCACAGAACAGATTTAGCTCAATCACTTAAGATGTTCTTACCCTGCAATATTTCCAACTTAGATGGAGACGGTCCTCATATCAAACTACTATATGCAATGCTAAGTAGCTAAACATATAAACAGGTGTAGTCCCAACTTTATTCTAAGATTAAGAAGATAATAGACAATTTAACAAAACCTAAACGCATAGTCATGTTGTATTCTGAAATTTTACCACATGTCATACGTGAATGGCAGCAGAGGCATACCTTTGCAGGCCAGGCAGGGAAACCCTTAACCTTAGCCAGGACAAGATCACCGATACTCAACTCACTGGTCGTCTTCACTCCTTTTGCTCCACGTTTACGCCCTGGAGCCATGGCGTATTTATCTTCCAAGAAACCCTAGTATGTATTTGAGTGTCTGCAGCCGTTTAGTATATCCCCTTTCCCTTCTTTGATATCAGATCGCACGAGAATGAAAGAATCAGCACCAGAGTGTGATCTCCGAAAGGCGCGTCCTAAAATTCTACTCTCCGTCTTCTTCAGAATCCAATACAAATACTGTCAGGTGAGAAAGTGAAATTCGAAAAAACTTGAATTGATAAACGGCTAATAGAAGTGACGGTACGCGGAGGTAGCAGCACCTAGATAGAGGCTATGCGGCCAACAGTCGGATTTCGCATTTGGGTGACGGAGGTAGTGGGTTGGGTGAATTGACAGTGGGGCGGAGAACGAATACTAACTTACGAAGGGGCAGTTGTCAGGGATGGAAGGGGAGCCTGGCCGGACTCGAATTGACGGAACATAACCCCAAACTCCAACTTATTTTAGTCAATTTACTCGGGAACTTATTGAACATAACCACAGTTATTTTCAATAATTAATTTGAATGTGTTCTTGATTGAAGTTTTAGCTGAAATTTTGTATGAGTAAACTAGACTTGATGAATAAGATGCTCAAAAAATTCCACGGGAAACCACCCCAAATCGCAACGGCCGGACAGAGCCACCTATATGAGGACTTATATGATCTTTTTATGAAAGTTCGAGAACATATTTGACAGTTTTCCCTATTTACTCAGTCAATCTAAATTTTAGTGCAATCCAGCCCCGTTAATATATTCACTCAGCAAAGTTTTTTATTAAAGCGTTAATTTTATTGTTATACATCAATAATTTGTCCAACTTTTTATTGTGAATAATTATGATTTGAAACGTCAAACATTCGGATGTAAAAATAAAAAAAAAAATGGAGATTTATTTTTTTTAAAGAAATATAATAATTGAATGATATAAAAATATAGTTTAACCATGAGATCTTAATTTAACACTTGAATCTATTTAAAAGAAAACTTAGGTATAAAAATCTCTAGTAGTTAAAATTATATATATATATATATATATATATTCAAATTTATATATCCAATATTGATGTCATATGAAAGAGCATAAAAAGTTATAAAATTTGATATGTTTTTTATAAAAATTAAAATACAAATTAAAAAAATATAACACATTAAATAGAATTGGGATTATAAGGATGTTTTTACTTGGACTGTAATATGTCCCAGACCAGACCAGATCAGAATAGACCAGACTTGGATAGTTATAAAAATACAAAGAAACCATACATTACCAGAACAGACCAGACCAGACCAGACCAATTTAGATCAGATCAGGCTAGACCAGCAAATTACAGTCCAAGTAAAAACATCCTAATTTTACATGGGGCCATGTTTTCCTTCTCGCGTACGCTCAACAACTCATTCAACAAATGCTTCCATGTTGGTCTTACCTTCCATGAATAAGCCCGCATATATCCACTCATGGGGTGTTCCCAACCCATTTTAGCACCCAAATATACAATGGTTTTGTTGAGGTTTATTCCTTCAACCCTTGGACCCAACACGTAAGCCCAAAGATTTCGAGTGGAGTGAGTATATGGATATCTAGCCCAACAACCTTCAGATGGATCAGGAAACAAGAGAAATAGCAGGCAATGTAAATAGGTATTATTAACTTCGTAATAACTCTCCTAAGTACAATCTACTTGCTAAAAAAGGCACGTCGGCCGTTCGTCTTACAAGGCAGTTAGAAATGCCGCGAGTAAGAGTGCTAAAGCTAGAATGCTAAGAATAGAAAGTTGTCAACCCTTTACAATGAAATAAATGCTTCTATTTATACCCACCAATGGGCAGGTGGCTGTGCTGACGTGGCAGCCTGTGGACCGCTGGTGCCCCAACTACCAAATCTTCAGCATTAAATGCACTTCCCGCCAGAATCTAGGTTTCCCGCCTAATCAGTGGGGACGTTCGTCCGCCCGGGAAGTGAGTTGGATCGCCCCAAGTGACCCCCAAGAGACACTGGCTGTTCGTCTCCTGGCCTTGGTAGATACTCACCACGTGGACTGGGTTTCCTCCGATGACTATAGGCTTACCATGGGGACGTTCGTCGTCATCCCTGGTGGCCCGCGTCCCTGCTCCTTGTCCTTGCATAGACGTTCGTCGGGATGAGCCGCTGGGCCTGAACTCTCAATACCAGACGTTCGTCCATCCTCGAGGAACATGGGCCTGTGGGCTGGCCTTGTGTTCTAACTGGACGTGCGTCTGGCAAGGTGGGGTTAGTGGGCCGGACCCCGGTTTGGGCCCTTAACCCAACACAAGTCCCCCACTTCTGATGTTCTGAGCATGTGCAGGACATAAGGAAGTATAAATCCCTTTGAAGTAGACGTTCGTGTCTTGATACTTATGTTCTATTACATCTGGTGGAAGCGTACGCTCGTGGTCATGGTGCTTGACAGCTGTTGACGGTTCAGGAAACGAGGTGACGGCTGCTGTAGCGGCGGTGCATTTTCCCGAGGAAGTGTCATCATTACGCTTCCATCCCACGCACGGCGCGTGAGCCGAACCACGCTCCTTGCTACGTGTCAACCCCTCGTTGGCCCCTTAAACGGTGCTTCCCCTATAAATGCCGGGTTTTCCCCCTGAACTAGGGTTCCCAATCTCTGCTCCCTTGCTTTTATAATCTCCGCCGTTCTTCGAGTTCTCTGCTTGGCTTCTGAGTTCAGTTAGTCTCTTCGTAAGGTAACTTCCCTTCTGCTTCTTTTTCTATCTTGATTTCTCGCCGAAATGACTTCGATGGAGATCTCGTCAAGTTCCGATTCCGGTTCGTCGGGTTCCTCTTCGGGCTCCTCTTCTGACGATGTAAATGCGCGCTCCCCGGGAAAGGCCAGTGTTTCTGGGACCTCTGGTTCGGCCACAACGGTAGGTACAATCCGGGCTGATGGTGAGCCGGATGACGCTTCCCAAGGTAGTGGGAGTGACGCCGGGGACGGGAACGCCGATGGGACAGTAGACGTTATTGATGCAGTTCCCCTGAATGAGCGCCCCGCCGATTATGATTCTGGAGAAGAGGCCGAATCAGGTTCTGACATGGAGGTGCACGATCTGGGCATCCCTACGGATATGGAGCGCCACATTTGTCCGATCAGAAGCGCCCTTGACCATGATCAAGTCCTCTCCCGCGTGGCTCTTAACAAAATCCGCACCTTCTTTCCCCCGCCGTTCGTCTGGAGCGTGAAGGGTGCCGAGCACGTGATGAGGAGACGTCCGGGGATGATCATGCTCCACCTGGACTCCGTGGAAGCCGGGCTGCGGTTCCCACTTCATGCGTTTTATGTGGAGTTCTTCCACTACTTCCAAGTGGCCCCAGCGCAATTCATGCCAAATTCTTATAGGTTCATATCGGCCTTCTTGGTGCGCTGCAAGCTTGCCGGAGTCGACGCCACCTTGGATCTGTTCCACTACTTCTTCCGGATCACCCCCTAGAACTCCGACGGTTATCTGAGCGTGGCTGCTCGTCCGGGGAGGAGGTTGTTTAGGAGCTACCCCTCCTCCATTCATGATTGGAAGAACCGGTTCTTCTTCCTCCGTTATGACGGTCCTCCCCTCCCAGTTCGTTGGAATGGCTACCCCCCGAAGATAGAGTCGCCGGAGTTGACCGACGATCTGAGCGAAGCCGTGGAAGGCATCCTGCAGGGCGGCATTCGCCCCATAGCTGGCTATCTGACCTTCGAGGCACTCTCGGGGGCAGGCATAGGTACCGCCCGTGTCCTTGGACTCTTTCCACCCTTCGACGCTCGTCTCAGGGCATCGGGCGGTCCTGTCCTTCGAGGTGAGTGTCCTTTTGTATTCTCTGTTCGTCTTCTAACCCTTTATTGTTCTCCCGCAGGTTCTCCGCCAGACAGAGCTCAGATGAATCACGCCGAGTGCCTGAAAACTAGGAAGGCCAAGGCGGCTGCTGCTAAAGCTGCATTGGCGAAGGCCAAGAATGCCCCCGCCTCGGATTCCAACTCCTCAGCATCTGACGCTGCCCGACGAACTGCTGAGGGTGAGCAGCACTTGATCGCCACTATGCTGGCCCAAAGTTCCGGGGCCCCTGCTCTCGAAGCTGCCCTCCCACCGCCGGTCGTCTCCACGAAGGCGGCTCCTCAGAAGGGGGCGGAGAAAGCCCCTGAGAAGAAGCAGAAAAGGGGCCGTGAGGCAGCCTCCACCGGGCCTCTGCTCGAAGACGCCGGCTCTCTGCCATTAAGCCGCCCGGTGGAAGACCTCTGGAAGGAGATGGCCCTCAAGGCCGGTCTTGAGTTGCCCCGCCGTTCGCCGTCTGAGGCGAACAGTGCTGCCCTGGCCGCCGCTCTTCAGGTATCCCTTCTTTACCAGATCTGAGCACATCTTTCCCTTGACGTTCATCCTCTAACCATTTTTTCCTTCTGTCATCCAGTCTGGGCTTCTAGTCCTTCAAGCTGAAGCTGCCAGGGAGGCTGACCTGAGGGAGGTCAGGGCCAAGGCTGATGCGGCCGTTGCTACGGCCCGGGAGGCCGCTCGTCGAGCGGAGGCGGAGGCTGCGGTCAAGGAGAAAGAGATCGCCGCTCTGCGGGCAGAATCCCGCCAGCAGCTGGTCAGCCTTGAGAAAGCCGGCTTCAAGCTCGTCCCGGTGCACCCTGTTGCAAAGGATGCCAGTCCGGAGTGGCTGGTTGATACCTCCGGCTATCGGAACACTGGGGAGTTCATGGACTCTGCCAAACACTACTGCGCCGGGGTCTTCGCCGACTTGTTCGCCGCAGCTCTGGAGAAGATACCGCCCCGCCAGCGTCTGGCCCGCGGTGTCCGGCTACTTGAGGGCTCTCCTCTGTCCCGCAAGTTCCTGTACGAGGTCGGCGACAGCACCTTCTCCGCCGGCTATAATGAAGGGGTTAAGGCCACCCTTCCCATCTTTTCGAGGTTGCAGGGGGCTGACTTCGAGCTGGCTGCGCATACAGATGACGATCTGCTGCTCCAGGTTCTAGGGAAGCTGGCGAGAGATCAGCGCAGGGAGGATGCCAAGGCCAGAGGGGAGATTCCCGAACCCCCGACCCCGGAGCCCGAAGTTGAAGAGGAGGAGCAGATTCCGGGAGGCAGCCGGCCTGAGTCCCCTTGTATGGTGTAAATGTAGTTTGTACTCTTCTCATTTTGTGTTTGTAATGTCCGGCCGTTAGAGCCGAAGAATATACGCCTTTTTGCCCAAATTGTCTCTTCATTCATGATCTTTACTTCGTTATTCTTACTTTCGTTCCCTTCGTTGTCTGTTGTATGGGAATCCCTTCGGCGCCCCGGTACATTCTGTCGCGAGGTTTTTAAGTCCGCGAGGACGTTCGTATCTGTTCCTCACTCGCTTAAGGCAACGGCGTCTCCTTGCCAAGCCTCCGTACGTACTTAAGTGTGCGGAGGTACGAC